CCCTGCCCACATCCATCAGATTCCACGTCGCTGTGCCAGTCACCTCGTCCCAACGTGTCCCAAATTTACCCCAGGTAAGCCTGGTCCCCTCCCTCCGCCGTATGTTTGTCCCGGTAGATCCTTCTCCCTTCCCCCCTCCCCTCTGTATGTCTGACCTGTGAGCCCCAGCCCGGCTCACTCATCACACTCACAAACACACAGGAGGGTAGCGTCTCTGAGAGCGCTCTGTGCTCCGTGGGAGGCCAATGGAGGTTCTGGTCTCCGCCCCGCGACCCCAGCCCCGGCCCCCGGCGGTGGCCCCGCGGGACACCCACAGACAGGTAGTGCGGAAATAGACGACCGGAAGTTACCCGGCGAGACGTGAGCTGCGGCCGGAAGTCACGCACCGGTATGGGGAGAAGGTGGTGGGGTGGGGGAAGGAAGGGGTGTGATGAATACACTAGGATGCAGGGGACCGAGCAGGTCATATGGCAAATGAAAAGCGTCCAACAGCCTGAGGAAATGAAACAAAAAAAAATCATCATACCCCATACGGTTCACACCAGTCACCAGATGCTCAAAAAAATGACTTACAGGACAAGCTGAGCTTATATTATTGTCTACCTCTCAGCAGTCTGTACATCCGACCATTAATTAAAATCACAATTTCATAATCTACATTTCCGTTTAAAAAGCGGGGCACTGCAGAGCACTGGCGCATTTTAGATCATAACTCATAAACGGTTTGTGCAGAGAGTCAAACTTTTGAGACTTCGCTTATGCAAAATTATTAACAGACATCTCGGCCAGGTTCGATCAACAAAAGCCCATGGTTGTGGTGACTGGTGGGACTATCAAAAAGAGGCAAGGTGTTACTGAATTACAAAACTAATCATATTGGTAGGCGCACGTAGATTCCGCGTTTGTCATGCGTCTTTTCACCTCTAAGACATAGCAATCATTCAGAAAAATACCATACACTCGAACTCGAATTTGACGCTCGGAAATACCTGATAGGGAAGATGAAGCAAGAGAAAGCTTTCCATAGTTGACTGCACAGATTGAAAGCTTTTAGATGCACCTCTTGTCTCTTACTCTTAGAACTGAAAATGAACAACAATTTCAAGACGAATTACAGTCGACAAGGCAAGAATGCATTAAAATGTATGCAATCAGACCTGAATGTGAAATAAATAGTGAGATCAGTTAAGTGAAATCTACCGAGTTACCATGGCACCATGCTATTTTCTCGTCAAATCGCTTTACAGCGCCTTGCAATGGCTCCAGGAATCCAGATCTCGCCCACTGACGGACTCCATAATTCATATTTCACGGACGCAGACAACCGACGGAAACGGAGACCTAAACATATGTGGATCACAAATGCCCTTCAGACAGATAATCATGATCACCCTCAAGATACTTCTATTTTCGTATTAGCTAAGGTAGCAAAACTTATACGAAACAATAACTCATGAGATGGGCAAAGTGCCCCTCGAGTTGCAACTTGCACAATGCACAATACACTCGTCACAGTTCCAATCTCGTGAACAGATGAGGAACCGCATTGTTCCTATAAAATCGACTGCCAATTATCATGAAAAAAGAACTTCACAATGGCCGAAAGTGGAGTAATGAGCACAATGGGATAGATGAACCCAGGATCCAAAGCGCATAAAGCCATGTTCCATTGCACCAAAGCCCACCGTTCACTAGCCTTTTGTACAAAAGTTTGTGAACCGTAACAATTCTGTCCTACCAGACGTGCTGTCATGATGATATTCCAGACTTACTATAACTATCAACAATGCCTACAAATGTATCATCAACCCCGATCTTGCAATTTCCGGCATCAACAACGTAAACAAGGGTGCACCAAAGCGTATGCTTTGCTTGAATAGACCCCTTATTTAACATTCTTTACATTTTAAAGATAAAAGCCGCGTTATGTCATCCAGTTTAGCTTTCATGAGTGTTCGTACCTTCTGGTCCATAAACTGTTACAAGTTATATGCCATGGACCACAAAAGATGCAGTATTCTTTCACAAACAATGCTTTTCTCGAGCCGTTGCCAAAGTAAAAGAGTTTACGACGGGGCACTAAGCAGAGCATAAAGGTGCACCTCTTCTTCCAAGGTCAACAATAGCAAGTACACACTGGTGTTCGATCGTCACAATGAGCGCCAGTGCGGAGTGGAGCGCAGTTCTGGGCACATTCCACACAGCGAACCAATACGAGCGTACTGGAAACCTGAGCCCACCGACATCGGTACATGTAAGGGGACATGTACAAGTTGGGCTATGGTCTGTGGGTTACTGATGCCTAACCCAGCAAAACAAACGAGCTGAGGGATGCTGAACACTGGACAGTGAACAGTCACCGGTAAACCGGGCAAGGATTAAATGAGCTGAAAGTGTTATAGGCCGTGAATCGAGTGAATGAATGATTAAGAGCTTCATTAGACGTTGTGATTCACAACAAATAAGGGAGAATCATACAAATGAATTGTGATTCACAGCAAATAAGGGAGAATCATACAAATGAATTGAGCGATTGTCAAACAGCTGAAAGAATATCACACCAGTGTAGTCAGTATGTATATCAAAAAGTACACATGCATCCATCCATCGATCTCATCCATGTTAATCTTTTGACGAAGGTAACGGAAACACGTCTGTCCCATGCACCACACCCATTTTTCAGCCCCGCCCCTCTCCCACACACCACGCCTATCTTTCGGCCCCGCCCCTCCGCGATTCCCAGGGGACGGGCCGTCCGTGGCCAGGTCGTAAAGACTCGGTCCACCAGCCCGGTGTCGGCCGGGACGAGAAGCGAAAACAAACATCGATTCCCGGCGGGCGGGCCGCCCGTCGAGTCCGACGGCCCAAACAGAACGTCGACGGCGACGGGAGAACGTCGGCGGCGACGGAGCACACCGGGATGTGCTGAGAGGGGTGGTGATGACCTGGGGCGACAGGTAAGGGTGGTCGGGGGCGGGTCTGTTGGAACATCGTCATCAAGGTCAGAAATTGCTCAAGGTAAGCGCGACTTTATTGATGTGAGTCCGGAAAAGGAATGTTTTAAGAGAAAGATTGAGTTAATAAGGCAAAAAAAAAGAGTACGGTTAATGAATGAAGGCGAGGCAAGAAAAGGATTAATAAGGCAGAAGTAATGTGATTCCAAATTTGGCAGCGACCATCGTCACCGCCACTGTAGCGTTTTCACCGAGTCCGATCAGATCGAGATCCGGTCACCAAGCTGGCAATTGTTGCTGCTAGATCGCGAACACTGGTGCACCAATACATTGACGTGTTACGCGCGATTCACAGAGTAATCACCACTGTACGACAATCCAACATCCAGTCGAATCACCGCCTTCGGGGAGTAATCCGCCGATTGCGCGGCAGTTCTCAGGTGAGTCATCCGGCATCCCACCGGGACGGGGTCGGGTCGGTTCTGGAACCAGCTACGCAGTGAGGAGGGGAAATACCGCTAAACACAGGTAGCTACCCGCTAGTCGCTACCATCATCAACGGCGACTAGACCTTTGGACATCGCACCTGTCCTGAGTGTGGACCGTTTAGGAGGACATCGTCCAGATTAGTGCGGATTAGAAGCTGGCAGTGCCACCCGAGACCATATGGGGTATGAGCATCGGACGCTGATATGAGCGACCAAACAAAGCAGTCTGGCCGGATGGCTCCCGCTGCAAACGAACCACCTGTGGAGGCAGACCATGGCAGGCCCGACTTTGGTTCTCTCCACATGCAATATGCGTATTTCTATGCAGCTGTTAGCACATTCTAGCTCGAGCATCAACCGCTTGAGTCACCACCTGTAGCTCACCACCACCCATCATTCCCCCCCCCCCCCCGCCCATCCCGACCACAGCCGCACGCAGCCCAATAGGCAGAACTCCGTCACCCCTCCCCTACAGACACTCTCATCAGTTCCTTCTCCGCATCTCGGCCGTGGAGGCTGGCGACCGGCCCACGTAAGACGCTCCAGAGCCGACATAATGCACGGTCTCGCTGCGACGAGGTCAGTCGGCCGACCCACACACCAGCCACGCGAGGGCGGGGGGAGAGAGAGAGAGAGAGAGAGAGAGAGAGAGAGAGAGAGAGAGAGAGAGAGAGAGAGAGAGAGAGAGAGAGAAAGAGAGAGAGACAGACAGAGACAGAGACAGAGAGAGGGAGAGAGAGAGGGAGAGAGAGAGAGGGGAGGGAGAGAGAGAGAGAGTGAGAGAGTGAGAGAGAGAGAGAGGAAAGGAGGGAGGGGAGGGAGAGGTAGAGAGAGGGAGCAAGAGAGAGAAGAGGGAGAGGGAGAAACGAGAGAGAGAGAGAGAGAGAGAGAGAGAGAGAGAGAGAGGGAGGGAGAGAGAGGGATAAAAGGGAAAGGGAGAGAGAGAGAGAGAACAGGGAGAGGGAGAGGGAGAGGGAAAGACAGACAGAGAGAAAGAGACACAGAGAGAGAGAGAGAGGGAGAGGCAGAGAGAGAGAGAGAGAGAGAGAGAGAGAGAGAGAGAGAGAGAGAGAGAGAGAGAGAGAGAGAGAGAGAGAGAGAGAGAGAGAGAGAGAGAGAGAGAGAGAGAGAGAGAGAGAGAGAGAGAGAGAGAGAGAGAGAGAGAGAGAGAGAGAGAGAGAGAGAGAGAGAGAGAGAGAGAGACGCCATTTCTGAGCTACCAATCAGTCCAGGGCCGACACATCTGCACTGGCTCTCAGTCGCTGGAGATCCAAGAGGTTCACAGATGTTGTAGGCAATAAAATCCCAGACCCACGTGCCCAAAATCTATCTCGGATATGCTGGTCACCCCTGTGAACCGAGTTCCCTTGGGTACGGTATTTCCAGACACCCCTGAGGTCGCAACTCGCAACATGCCGACCAGACGTCTGGAATTCGATCCCAGCTGTCTAAGGAGCACGATAAGGGTCGGTGGGCTCAGGTGGCTCCGGCGCCCGCTCGCCAAATCAGCAGTAATCCGCGCCCCGTGCTCCCGCGGGGCCTCCCTGTGAGAACTCACGATCATGAGACGGCACGACGGCGGTGCAGGAGCAACGGCGGCAGCGATGGTAGTAGCAGTAAAAACTTGAATCACCAGTGCACGTCCAGCCCTCAGCGAGGGACGCAGGCAGTCTGAGACAGTCCAGCAGCGCGGCACGCGGCACCTCGTCTCGTTCGACCCCCTCTCCACGCACGACCGACGCTGACGGCACCGACTCCGGCGCCGTAGTGCCGCCACGGCGCGGCCGCCCGCTGGCTGCCGAGGCCGGCCGGCCGCCGCCAGGGGTGTTCGACCCGCGCCGGCCGCCGCTGACGCCGCAGGCCGCCCGGCCGGACCCAGACGGATCGGCGATGTCCGCATTGGCCGCCGATCGTAGGTCGTTTTACGAGACTTGATGGGAATGAGAGGGAGATCCGAGGAGTAATCTCAAGAAACTGGGTTGTCACGGAAGGAGTGGCAGCGTTTTAACGGCTCTGGTTCGACCTGCAGACTGCACCCCATCCACAGCAAACCTGCATTGAGGGCGCAACGCAGACTAATGCGGACCATACTGGTCGGCCACCCCTGGCCGGCCGGCGGCCCGTGCGTCGGGGGCGGCGGGCGGACCCCACCTGCGCCGGTACGCACCTACATGCCGCGTGTCTGACACCGGTACACGGGCCGCGGGACGGCTGACAGACAGCCGGCTGTGTTTGGGGGAACCGCACGGCTCCACTGCCGGCTGCCGGTATCGGGTCGGTCCGTTCGGGGTACCCTGCCGCCGCCCCTACCCACCACTCGGCACCTGTGTGGGAGTGCGATGGGTGTCACCGCTCCGCGCCGCCCCAGACGGTCAAGGCTGGAACGGTCCGAGAAGGTGCGCCGTAACGACCTTCGCGATCCCCTCACCGTCCGCGTCTTACCCGCGAGACAGACGAGACAGACGAGCAGACGAGCAGACGGGCACACGGCCGGGAGGACGCAGGGCTCACTTTCTGCGAGCGACGGGGACAGCTGAGAGCCGCCAGGGACGGCGATGGAGGCGTTAGGGTGACGGTCTCAGCCTCACGCGGTCCACGCGTCGCCACCCGCCTCGCTCATCAAATCCCGGCACGGCGCCGTCACCACTAGCGCTCCGCGCGGCGGGCTCGGCGCTGTGAGACAACAATGGCGCACCACAGCGCCGGTCCCAGATGATTGAAAACACCGCCAGCGTTCAGCTTTCGCCGCCCGACTGTTAACTACTCAGGCGCCGGGTAATGCCGACATTTTCGAGGGACCGGCGCTCTCCATAAACGGGCCAGGCATGACCCTGTCATACTAATGGTCGGTTTATATTGAATAGATCACTCCAGCAGTGGCAGTCCACCAAAATCCACTACCGCCGGAGCCAGAGACGAGCCACCATTGCTGGAGACCTAAGGCTCTGAGCTCAAGTCATTGCAATTCTCTGAACAAACGCGACCGTCACCGCCAAACGGCCAGGCATGTCACTGTGTATCGAGGCCAACCCTGACGGAGCTGTCAAAGCTATCAAAGCAGCCGTGGCTGTCGGGACCGTCACAAGCCAGACGTGCTGTAAACCACCACCCGGCGTGGCGGGCGTGCCCGCCGTGGTAAGCACGTCCCACCATACCGTGCCGTAGCGGCCGTACCGGCCGTGCTCGGTCCGCCCGCACCACGGCGTGGTACGGCCCTCTACGGCCCACCACGATCTCTCCTGAAAGCTCGGCAGCAGCACGCCCGCGGCAGCACGCTGTGTCAGCGGGTAAAAACGCCGCACCGCAGGCGTGATCGGCAGCGGCGCCGGCTCGCAACAGGCGGGTCGGCAGCCGGGCTGACTCTAGCCGAGCCGAGGAGAGACAGGTGAGCGGTGCGGCAAAAACCGTCGTGCACCCCACTCCTCGAGCCGAGCGCGGCTTCAATACAAACGGTCCAGACTTGTACACGGCTGCGTAACTGCGCGATCGACCGATTGCTGCTCACGCCGGTCGTAAAAATAAGCCATCGCCGTGGGGCTGAGCTGTCTCAGCACGACATCAGTCTGTCTCGGCACGAGATATCTCAATGAGGTGACATTTCTCACAGACTGAGTTCAACAACGCAGAGAATTCTGCACTGATGCGAAGTGCGCTCTCAGAGCCTGGCGACGCACTTGTCCGCGTTTCTGCAGAACGGAGGCCAGATCGCGAGCAATGTCTGATGTATGTAGTGCGTGGCTGGCGGCGTATATAGCGTTGTCACAAGTGTTGCAGTTTTTCACACGACACGGAATCGGAGTGACGCTACAACACAGCTGATAGACGGTACAGCTGGCGAGCGTCTGAGCTCACCAGAGCAGTGATCCAGCTCATATTCGAGGTTACCCAGCCTAATGATGGCTGATCTAGCCAATGTGTACCCGGCCTTTTAAATTAAATTGACCAAAGCCTGAAAAAGTTAGTGTCGAACAATTATTCGATGAGCGGCCACTAGTATAATGAAGAAGGCTGCCCGCCTAATAATCGTAGAATTTCATCGATACTACTGGATTAGGCGGCGGAAGATTATACCACAGATCCGCAATTCGCGTAAAGAACGATTGAAGGCTTGCGTGCTATTATAATCTTCATTGGAGCGGGACGATGGAACTCAGTACCTACCGGTAAAAATTATACCTACACGAAAGGTGCATGCAACCTCTTCTTATGAATATGGCATGATTTGCAGGGCTTGAAGAGAAGCAATAAGGAAATGCCAGTTGTAATCAGTTACAAAACATTTCAGTTTAAGCCATCCACAGCGTAAACTGCTTCACCGCTACCTGTTAACATTTAAGTACCTAATTACAGCTAAACGAGAACATTCCGGCCGAATTGGAGCCAATGAGTAGCGCCAACCGACAACCGACGACAACCAGGCGGTCGAAAACGGCGACTGGCGGTCGAAAACCGATGATCAGCGGTCGAAATCGGTGATCAGCGGTCGAAAACCGGAGAACAGCAACCAACTAGGGAAGTGAAACAGATTCTCACACCATTGTGTCTCAAAGGCCAAAGCAGTGCCGTCGCCTCCACCACCGTCCAGCCGTAGTAGCTACCTCGGCAGACGCCGTCGAAACCATCATCGTCGTCGTCGGAACCGTCGGAGCCACGTCGGCAGCCGGGGCTCATCTCGGAGGCGACAGCACGTCTCGGCGAGCCGTCACCGGCTATTAGCGCGCGGCGCCTGTGGTGTGCGCTGGAGCGATGGCGACGACAGGGGTGCTGGTGGCGGAGGTCACACCCTTCTACGGACCAGGCTGGGAGAGGTGAGGAAAGCGAGCTGGGAAGCGCACGAGCACACGTCCGTGGACAGTGGAAATGCATGTGCCTCCAGACAACGAATTGAAGGAAAAAATCATACGGCGTAACAGCTGATCTGCTTTCCTATTCGAAAAGTTATTTTTGCATTCTAAGTTGATTTAGAATTTCTACCGAAACCCGTTGTCAAGTCATCTAGCCCAATCGGCTAGAACGACTCTTCAAAAACGAGCATGCAGATCGCGGATCAGCCTGAAACTTATCTCACATATCCACAAGCTACAACACACAAGCTTTATTTGATCGAACTTACCACTTACATCACTTCAATAGAAGCTCATCTACGCCGGTCTACACATTCACGTCGGTTGACCGGCGGTCCCTCTGTCCCCTATCACCCCGGCCGATGCCCTGCGCTCCCCACCTTCAGCTCGCCACCCATAGCCCGTCGCCCTCAGCCCTCAGCCTACCACCCATAGCCCGTCGCCCTCAGCCCGTATCATCGCTGCCGACAACAGATCAATTCGGAGGGGCCGCCGGCAGCTGGTCCGTCTCATCGACTGCGACGGAAACACTCGACGATGTCGTCGACGATAGGGAGGTCGCGGTGGGGTGACGAGAGGCGGCGGCAAGGTTTGACAGAACTTGATCGGAGGACATTCCAGACCAATGCGGTGTTTATCAGTGCGTAGAGACGCCATTTTTATGACATTGCCAACTGTCTGCTACTGCGATGTTGTTAAGTTTTATGGCTTTCGCGATGCAACGTTTGCCATGTGTTTTTATGGCGGGCAGTTTTATTCCCAGGGTTTTACCAGATTTATCGACACGAGGACTGAGAACTCTGATTTCTCTGGAGGACTCAATACACGCCGACTTCTTGACAACTATTGGTCTCGGTGACGAAACAGCTGAGGCCATTCGCATGATCCTTATCTGGTTTAAACTTGAAATAATTTAAGGAACTGCTCCCAGATGGCAGCGACGTTTATCACAACGGCACAGCGATGGGTATGAAAAACACGCTGGCAACGATAGAAGCAGTAACGCTTCACGCTGCACCAAGCCGATAATAGTTGTCCTCTCAGTCATCATGAGCCGAAAGGGCAAAATAGGAAGCGGAAAGAAAGATAAATAAATGGAGATGAGTATCGGAGTCATTTATGGGTTTTCAACGGGTCACGCCGTAGGAGTGTTTTTAATATTTAGATATCATCGGGCATGAGTGCATGACCATTGACCATCTTCTCTTAAAAAGAACGGCAGCCCTCCTTCCAGAACGTCCTCTTTCCTGCCGTGCTGATCTCGTTAGAGCAGCGCAATGGCAGCACCAGAGCAGGAAACTACAATACGCTGAAACGCCTGCAATGTCCCCATCTAGCAAAATGCTGACAGTAGCATTACAACAAATGAAAGAACGCAAATAAAATGAGACTAAGATGAATGCGTCCCGTGAGTTAGGTCTCATTCCGGACATGAAACCCCACCGGAAATGGATAGTGGAAGCAGATGAAACGCCGAGCCGGCACCAGAAAATGGATTTCTGGCACAGGACAGGTGGGAGGCTGCACGAGCCCGTTCTGGGTCAACAAATCAATACAGCACGCTGCGCCCTCAGCGCCCGGGGGGGGGGGGGGGGGGGGGCGCGGGAGGCGGAGGCGAGGGGGCTCGGCTCGATCAACTCAGCTGCACCACGCCGCTGCCTACTCCGCATTACCGAGTACGGTTGAAACTCGTACGGTCCGGCTCCACTGGGACAATATTTCTCCTCAGGCTTTAGATGGCCAAACGGCACCGAGTTTTGGAAAAGTTTGCCATCGGCAGGTTATTCAATCAGTAAGTAGTGGCTCAGTTATCTCAGCTTCTGACTTCCCATCGGAGTTACGGAACTTTATTGAAAGTTTGAAGTGCGTGAACACAGAGTTAATTTGGTTCCTAAGAGCTCTGCATTCTGTCTTTG